ACCACAATGTATTAATGTTCTGTTAATAAATATTTGGAGGGGATGGGGATATAAGCTCAGGGGTACAGCATTTGCCTAACATGATGTAGGGCCCTGGGTATGATCCCCAGAACCTCAAAAAAATAAACATTTGGATTATGTCTAGTTCGGTGTTATTACAAATAACTCCAAACATTTTCTATACATCTTTTGGTACATGTACATACAGGATTCTCTTTGATAGAATCCATCAGAATTATCAGATAATAGGTATTCTTATATTCATATTTAATAGAAAGCATTATCCAACATGCTTTTGCCAATGTACAGTCCCATTAATGTGTGGAAAAGTATTGTCAACAGTCTCCCAAACACTTGGGATCATCAGTTGCTCTGCTGGATGTATAGTAGTATGTTATGTTAATACGCAGTTAATACGCAGTATTAACTGGGGATGTAGCTCAGCAGTACAGTTCATGTTTAGCATGCCAGAGGCCCTGGGTTCTATTCTCAGCACCAAAAAATAAAAATAATAATATGCATTTCCAAATCAGCTAGTGATTTTTTACTACATTTTATTTTGCTTATTGGCTATATGGATATTCTCTTTGTGAAAAAGTCTGTTCATCTTTTGTCCATTTTTAAAACTGAATCATTTGGTCAGGTGCTGGGGTATATAACTACAATCCCAGCAAGTCAGGAAGCTGAGGCAAGAGAATCCTAAATTCAAGACCAGAATGGGCAACTAAGTGAAATCCTGTCTTAAAAAATAAAAGGCTGAGGATGTGGTAGAGCACCCCAGATTCAATCCCCAATACTAGGAAAAAAAATTATTTGTTCTTAAATCTTACCAGTTCTTTATGGCAAGTCTTGCATACCACCTTGTACTTTTGTAATTTGTCTGTTTCCTCTCTCGGTACCTTCAGATTATGGAAGTTTTAATTTTAACAAAATCTGATTTCTCACGTTTTTCATCTATGATTAGTCCTTGTGTCATTTTATTTTTTATTTATTTATTTATTTTTAGTCATACATGACAGTAGAATGCATTTTGATATATAATACATACATGGAATGTACATACATCAATCATATTGTCTATTCTATTCTGCTGCCCTTCCTATCCTCCCTATTTCTCCCCTCCTCTCCCATCCTTTAGTCCTTGTATCATTTTAAAGAAATTTTGTCAAGTATTCCAAGATCTTGAAGGCGGATTCCCCATGTTAACTTCTGGAAGTTTTGTTTGACCTTTTACATTTAGGTCTCAAACCAACCTAACACTGATTTTTATGTATAGCTGAGACAGGGAGCAAGGTTCATTTTTCCATGTACATATACTTGAAATAACAACCTTCAGTAAAAAACCCCACCCTCTCCCTACTGCTCTGCAGTCCCACTTTAATGTAAGTCAAGTAAACAAACATGTTTGTTTCTGGATTCTCCCCTGGGTTCCACCAGTTTACCTATCTGTCCTGACACGTTTATTATTCTGTGTAAATTCCTATCCCAAATTTGTCCTTCCTCTTCAAAACTGTCTTGACTATATTACAGCCCTTTTCATTTCCACATAAATACAGAAATCAGTTCATCAATATCCACCAAAAAAAAAAAAAAAAAAAAAGCCCCTGATTCTGATTGGGAGGGCACTACAATTTAGGAAGAAGTGATATCTTTAAGACATATTTTTTGGTACCAGGGATTGGACCCACCTGCCGTTTTTGTTCTGTTTTGTTTTGGTTTTTTAAGACAGGGTCTCACTAAGTTGCTTAGGGCTTCGTTAAATTGCTGAGGTTGGCCTTGAACTCCTCCTGAGTCCCTAGGATTACAAGAATGCACCACCATGCCCAGCTAAAACAGAAAATTTCTTAATCTGTGAATTGGAGATATTCTTCTACTTATTTAATTTGTCTCAAGAATGTTGTATGGTTTTCTCTGCAGAGATCTCTACATATCCTAGTATAATTATCCCTAAATATTTAATATTTCCTGGTGCTTCTGTAAACTTTTTCTTTTGAATTTCCATTTCTTGTTCTCTCTTCAACAATATGCCTATTTAAAAGTTCTCCAGGCGATTCTAATGTTCAGCCAGGTTTGAGAACTACAAACACAATAATAAATAAGGAGAAAATGTGTTTATCCTTCCCTTATCTTTAACCTAACTTCACTGTGAAAATACTTTGGCAGTTAAAAGGACATTTCATAATTTTTACAGAAGACTGCATTTTAACCAAACTACTTGTGGTTTCACTTCTGGCTGTTCAGAGCTTTGTCATATTTGATGCTCCAGTGCCTGGCACAGACAGCACATGTTTGTTAAATGATAAGAGAACTATGTAACCTCAGGCAAATAATTTATTATTTCCTCTGGGCTTCTGTTCTCTTATGGTAAAATGGAGGTAACTATGCTACATATATCAGTTTGGCTGCTAAAAGTATCAAACAAATGGGAAAAATGATTTTAAACTATCCAATTCTATACTATAAGATATCATTAGCTTCCAGGCAGTCTTGGATTAGCTTACAAATAAACTAATGAGAAGATGCTAAACACACATAGGACATTTACAGAAATGCCCAACTCATAAACATCAAGTTGAGAAAGAGACTTCCATCTGATGACAATGAAAGACACTGAAAAAGACACTGGGGATGAGGCTCAGTGGTAAAGCTCTTGCCTGACATGCATGAGAACCTGGGTTTGATCCCCAGCACCACAATACAAAGAAAAAAAAAATTTTACTGAAACCCTGCTGGGAGCCATTAGCCAAGTGGGTATGACAATTTCCTTGCCAGCGCACCCCATGTTGCAGTGACATTGAATGTAGGTGACCTTGCTCAAGGACCAAGGCGGATTAGGGTATTCCCAGTTTAAGATAATCGGGTTTAGGGCGTTCCCGGTTTAGGTTCCAGGTTTAAGGTTTAAGATTATTCCTGCTGGGAATAGGGCGTATCCTGCTGCCTGAGTTCCCCTTGAGTTCTCATGGGATTCAGACAGTATTTTTTGGGAGACAGAAGCCCAGTGGACGTGGATTTGGGCAGAGAACGTGGATTTCCCCAGAACGTGATTGTAGATGGCTGGTGTGAGTTCGGGAATAAAGAGTTGCTGTTTGAATCTACAAGCTGTGTGGTGGCTCGTGATTGTGTGCCCAGCCAGACTGCGGCATTTGGCGGCTCGTACGGGGAACTTCTGAAGCTTGGAGGTAAGTGAAATTTCTCACCCCTGAGGAAGAGCGAAAGAATGGGTGACCAATTCAAAAAACAATGTGTTATTGTTTTGATTTATTTTGTTTTTATTTCAAGTTGCCTGTTCCTAGAACTTTCTCAGGCAAACTGGGGAAAATGGTTGACTCAAGGTTTGAAGTTGTTCGCCTCTGAGGAAGAGAAATTGTTAGAGGAAGGAGGCACCCCAGTAAGACCAACAACAGTTAGGGCATATGTTGATACAATACAAAAATGTAGCACATGGCCTTTGAAAGACGAGTTATTAAGTATATCAATGGGACCATCATGGTATCCTGTAGAAGGATTTTTCTTCAACAAGAAAGAGATGGCTAGTTCTGTTTTCAGTTGGGTTTCAATTATAGTATTATAGTATCATAAAAAACATGAAAGTCTTTCATTTTATTAAAGTGGAGTAATTTGTCTAAATCAGAAATTTTATAAGAGTTGTTTCAAAATGTGAATTTATAAAAAGGGTTAACGGTTAAAAAAGAGAAAAAGATTCAAGATGTGGAAATATATTTTAATATAAAAGGTTAAAGGAAAAAGAAATGTTTCTAGATGAGATAATCTCTATGTGGTAAAGTAAAAGTTGTAAAATGCCATTTAAAAAAATTTTGAGGAAACTAGACTTACTTTAAAAGCTTGAGAAAGGAAGAAAGAAGAAAAAGGTATTTGTACATGGCAGATTGAGACAAAGCTTCTCAATGGAGTTAAAAAAAAAAAGCCTTTGGTTGAAGGGCAGCCATGTAAACTAACATTGAAGCGATTTAAACAAAATCTAAGCCTCGTTTAAAAGTGAAGTTGTAGGTGGTGAAAAAGTACATTTAAAAGTACAGTATAGATGATAATTAAAAGGTTAAATTGAAGGTGGTCGAGATACCTTCATGGCGGAAAAAAGATTGCTTTATTGCATCATTCGAAGCCTAGTTAATCTTAAAGGCATTACTTAAAAAAAATGGGAAGATAATAGGATAAAAGATACTTAGATAAAGAAGATCAAAAAGCGAAAAACTTTAAAGACAGAAGTATAGAAAGTTAAAAAGAAAAAAGATAAAGAAGATGTAGAAAGATAGAAAAGATGTAGGAAGACAAGAATTTTAAACCCACAAAATAGGAAGAAAAAAAAAAAACTAGGAGGAAAATAAGCAACTAAGGGTAAATATACAAACCTTAAAAAAAAAAACAAAAAACTAGAAGATAGAAATAAGATAGAAAATGGTTGAAAATGTCAAGTAAAGGTATTTCATATAGAAAATGCAAAAAGCTAAGACAACTATTAGATACAGACATATACTTATTAAAGCAAAAAGAGGGAATTGGAAGGGGGTATATATCCCCCAAAGATAAACTTAAAATAACGCTTTTTACTCTAAACTTTTTAAATTTGGATTCTTCAGGACTTAGTGCTGCGGAAAGGCATATGTATCCAAAAAATGTACATAAGCCTAAAGTACTTTGGAAAGATATTCTAACAGGACAATGGAAAGGTCCTGACCCAGTGATTGTCTGGAGTCGGGGGTCTGTTTGTGTTTTTCCACAGGGAGAACAGCAGCCGATTTGGATTCCAGAGAGATTAACTAAAACAATTTCTACAGATCGAAAAGAAGATGATTTGACTCAAATCCATAACAGCTGATATCCAGAACTCCAGCTTGGCCATTCTTACATCTGCGACAGTGATTAACCAGGATGCTTTTTTCAATAGCTATTTTATTATTGCATTTTTCCACATCATAAGGTTCTATTTTTATTTTTTGAGCTCATACAAACCTAGGTTAATGTTTTTCTGATCAGTTTTATTTTTTGACTGTGGAGTTTTTAAACATTGCAATGGAGATTTCACCCAGGTAAAGCTACAAGGCCTTTACTATTTTCTTATGTGTTGTACGTTTGTGTACACTCTTGTGTTTTGTGTTGTATGTCTGTATGTGCGTATGTCCATATTTCTTATATGAGGAGCGCTCATGAAAAAATGGATCCGAATTATTATTATTTTTTTATTCACGTGATTTAAATGGTTTAATTTAAATTAGGTAAACAGCTGTTAAGGATTGTTTTTAAAGGTGGTTAACAGATCTGTTTGTTTACTAATTTAAATTAGGTAAACAGCTGTTAAGGATTGTTTTTAAAGTAGGTTAACAGATCTGTTTGTTTACTTTCACCTTTCCTTTTCATTATATTTAATAATTCTTTTCAGGATAATGTCTTTTTAGCATCATTGCCAGAATTCCTATCTTCATCCCAGTGCCGGTGAAGACAAAGATACAACCAGACTACAGCTTCTATGATAGCTATCACAGTAAACTGTATAAACTGATGCATCAATGAATATAACTCAACAAGTAATGCTCAATCAAGGAGTTAACTTACTTTGGGAGGAAACGGATTTTGGGAGGAAATGGACATATTGATAGATTCCTCTGCTTTGAACTGCTTGCAGAACTTGCCTGGACTATGTAACTATCGTTTGGTGCAGCGAATTGTGGTAATGCTGGCATATCTTTGCTGATGGTGTCACCAGTGATGCAATTTTTATTTCCTTGCCAGCGCACCCCATGTTAATTGTGGTAGTGCTGGCATATCTTTGCTGATGGTGTCACCAGTGATGCAATTTTTCCCAAGGAGCCGTCAATTGGCTTGGTGTTGTGGCATTTCTGTATCCTCCTCCCTTCTGCTAGTGATGGTCTAAAATTTGGGGGCCAATGGCTATATGCTGGACCGGTAGTCAGTGACGGGTATGATCCAATTGCAGTGGTATCAACCTAAGACAGGAGGCTGACACCTAAAGGTCAGTTTTCCGATGACGGGTAAGAACCATATGTTGAATTGGACAACCTACCAGGCACGGTCCTTAAGCCACATTAACCTCACTCCCCCACTGGCACCAAGGCCAAATTTGGGGGCCAACAGAGGTGAGGCAAAGAACCTCACCCCCCCACTGGTGCATAGACCTATCCACAAGTATGGCTGTATGCTGGACCGGTAGTCAGTGACGGGTATGATTCAATTGCAGTGGTATCAACCTAAGACAGGAGGCTGACGCCTAAAGGTCAGTTTTCTGATGACGGGTAAGAACCATATGTTGAATTGGACAACCTACCAGGCACGGTCCTTAAGCCACATTGCTTGTTGTTTAATTAATCAGAAGGGGGGAGATGCTGGGAGCCATTAGCCAAGTGGGTATGACAATTTCCTTGCCAGCGTACCCCATGTTGCAGTGACATTGAATGTAGGTGACCTTGCTCAAGGACCAAGGCGGATTAGGGTATTCCCGGTTTAAGATAATCGGGTTTAGGGCGTTCCCGGTTTAGGTTCCAGGTTTAAGGTTTAAGATTATTCCTGCTGGGAATAGGGCGTATCCTGCTGCCTGAGTTCCCCTTGAGTTCTCATGGGATTCAGACAGTATTTTTTGGGAGACAGAAGCCCAGTGGACGTGGATTTGGGCAGAGAACGTGGATTTCCCCAGAACGTGATTGTAGATGGCTGGTGTGAGTTCGGGAATAAAGAGTTGCTGTTTGAATCTACAAGCTGTGTGGTGGCTCGTGATTGTGTGCCCAGCCAGATTGCGGCAAAACCCAAAATAATTTTTACAACACAACCTGATAGAGATGGCATTTAATTTCTACTCACAAAAAAAAAGACCTGGCAAAAGAAGACACGTACCAAATTATATCCTGCAGAAGTTAACAGGAACTTAACTTCACCTCTAAGCCATCTGGAAAAGGATTCATCGGAAGCATTTTATGAGACATAATTAGATCTTATGACTTCAGGAGTGGGAGGAAAAAAGACAGCACATCAAATGACATTACAGAGCAAAGGGCCAACATCAAGATGGTGCACTTACAAAGTAGTTCTCCTCTACAAAGAAGTGGTTCTGCTTTTTCTGCCAACAATTTTTAGCACTGGAATAGAAAGGGACTTTTTTTCCTATTTTTCACACTCATCTTTTATTCTTGCCCAGAGTCCGTTTTTCTTTCCAGTAATTCCATTCCAAGAAGAACTGCCCAATCCTAATAATCTCTTCCTTTCTTTGCCAATCAGGTCCTTATCTTGCAACCTTAAAAATTTCCAGCTTTTCTTAATATTTTACTAAAGTCTACTTCAGATTTCCCTCCATTGTTTGTGCTTTAACACAACAACCAAATTCTGGGAGGGATCTGTCAAATCTTGGTCTCAATAATTCTCTTCAGACACACAGTTAAAAATAAAAATGGTTCAGCTACTTGAGCTGGCTGCCATTCAAATGCCCCTCCCAATAGCTCATTTTTATGGTCTTCTAAATTGTTATTAGTCCCAAAAGTTAAAAGGAAACACAACAATGAACATACAACTTCTCACACACTTGTGAAGGGCACCAACATTTGCAACTCACAGCACAAGTGACCTGTTGCTTTAAAGCATCATCCAAAGCACAGAGGGTCCACATGACTTCCCTACCAACTCCAATTACTATGTAATTTCATGAGAGTTAGTGGATACAAATCTAAAACAATAATGATATATGTTAAGGGTCAAAGAGACATGGGACTCCAGGAGAAGAGACAACTATTTAAATGGACAAATCACCTCCAATGCCCAGGGCTGGTAAGAGAAAGCACCTTCCTTAGACATTCTAGGAACTTGACCAGCCACCTTCCAAGGTTCATTCAGTATTCAGCCTCAAGCTGTGCAAGTCAGCTCATCCTGCTCAAGATGGATAAATCTTCCTAAACTGCAACAGCTGCTCTGATCCTTCATTTTGTCCTATTAGAATCCTACACAGCAATCCAGCCATGTTACAAGAGGATCACTCAAGTCTTGAACTAAGGATTTCTTGATTTCTGTACTGACTTTCATCTGACAGAGGTGGAGAATATCAGCTTTTATTACCAGCAGTTAAATTTCCACATATTGTCCCTTTCCTGCAGAGAATAATATTAACACAAGGCAAACATAACATTCTTTTTTTTTTTTTTTGGTACCAGAGATTGAACCCAGGGCATCAATCACCGAGCCACATCCCCAGCCTGTTTTTTATATTTTATTTAGAGACAAGGTTTCACTAAATTGCCAAGGCTGGCTTTGAATCCTCAATCCTCCTGCCTCCCAAGCTACTAGGATTACAGGCATGAGCCACAGTGCCTGGCTCCATTTCTCAACTTCTCTGTAAAGATTTCTAGATAGTAAATACTAAAGCACCAAACTAGAATAAAAAGGTCTGGATACCAACCCTTCTGACTCTTGGACTATCCTGGATCAACCACAGCTTCCCTACCTGTTAAATGGAGATAGGGAAGGTTGAGTCTCCAGATACTATTAGTCTATTTTAAGGGATAAGGAATCGCTGAAGGATTAAATGTAAAACACAAGATATTTTATTGGAAGTCACCTTTGTTGAAGTGGGAAGACAATGAAATTTGCTGGGAGACACACCTAGATTTAAACCCTGCCTCTGCCCCTATTAGCTATTCATTTGTTTAATGAGTGTCTTGGGCCTCAGCTTCATCCTCTGCCAGGTGAGGACAATCATCATCTGTGGAGTTGTGAGGATTAAAGAACACTGTATATGGAAAGCACCTGGCACAGGCTGCATGCAGTGAACATACCCTATTATATGTTCTGCAAGTAAATATAATTGTCCTTTTCAGTTTTGGCCTTAAGTCTATGCAAAGATCCTAGGATTCAGTTTGCACAAGGGGTTTTTCAGAGATAAGCATGTAGGAGCACAATCACATTATTCAGAAAATATGTTTCAGAACTGCATCTTGTCTCTTAAGCTCGAAACAAAACCCAGAATGTGCCTAATTTCACGGAAAAGCACATGATCATCAGCCTGGCACAATTAGTGCTTTTTACATTTTATATTAACAAAGCATGAGCTGTTGCTAAAACCCATTTCACCAAGCACATGACCTACGATCTAAAGTCCCATTCTGGGGTCATTTTTTTCTCAAACTCCGCAGGACATCAATCAATTTGAAAAGCGTCACGATTTCGGAATGCGAAACCAACGCAGCTTGGAGGACCATCAATCATAAAGCTTAATTCCTCTCCAAGCTTCGCAATCCGGAGCTGAGGCAGGCCACGAAGGAGCAAAGGGGCGTTTTAATATGTTAAAACCACAAACATGGCTGCTCCCTACGGGAGATAATAATGTCTGAAAAAGAGAGTTGGCTATCTCTTCCCGTTTCCCCCGTCTCTTTAGGGGGCTGACAGGAAGGCCTCCTTCTTAGCAATGGGAGGAAGGCTCTAGTATATCCGTGTCAGTTTTAACTCACAGCTCGGCGCTCCAACGCCCCCCAAGACCCACCTTTCTCGCCAGGTGGAAAGCCCCCAGAGGGATTCTAAGCTTGCAAAAAAATGCAGAAGTAACTTTGGGTAGCACCAGCGAGGCACCCCGACCTTACCCTGGCTAGAGTTCCCGACCGTCTCAGCTCCTCCGGCCGTACAGCGTTCCGATGCCAGCACCGCCAAGACCAGCAGCCGCAGAAGCCCCATTGCTGCCTGCACGGACCCGGACCCGCGCCGCGGTCTGGGAGGAAGGCGGGCATGCGCGCCGGGACCCAGCAGCCTAGCCGGCACTACCCCGGGGCGCTCGCGCTGGGCGCCATCGCCTGCTCCGTGCACTCGCCGCGCACCTGCCAGCACCAGAGTATCTGGCGAGCGCCCCAACAAGAGGTTAACTCACGGGCCCGCGTTGCCCCGTGTCTCCGTCCCCAGCCCGGAGCGCTAAGCAGCCGCGGGTCCCCGGGCGAGGGCGGTGCTGGGGGCGTTCCCACGCAGCGCGCGCCCAGGAAGTTCTGGGGTTGTCTCTTCTTGCTTTTATATCTTTCTAACGCCGTTAAAAGGACAAAATCGCTTTCTGTTGTGGACTAACGTCCCAGACTCCAGTTTAACAGCCCTCTGAAAAAAAAAAAAAAAAAAAGAAGAAGAAACAAAAGAGGAATGCGGTGGTCCTCTAGCCCGTCGTTAGATTTTTTTTGCAACAGTTGAAGATTGCTTCCCTGTAGCAATTGCCTTAGCAGCTAAAGTTAAAGTTAGTATAAAAATACCAGGGAATGCCCCTTATAGTTGTTACTACTTTCTGTAGCTGTTATTACGCTAGTTCTGAATACCACATCGAAAAATAAAGTTTCATTTTCTCTAAGCGAAATATCCTCGAAAACTCACAATCTTTACCTGAACTTCAGCTCTCAAATCTCATACTTGAGTGCTGTTTGAAGGCACAGCAGTCCCTGTAACAGATGGCTCATGAGATGATGATGATGATGGAATTAGCCCCCAGGGGGATTCTAAGCTTGCAAGAAATCCAAAAGTAACTTGCATTACAGACTCAGTTATTTGGGGATGACTGCCCTGCTTTCTTTCCGTGCTAATTAAATTTTTCCTGTATGTATTTTAATGAACAACTATTTCTAGAAAAAAAAATATTTGTTCAGTTAATCCACTAATAGATACACTCCATGGCAGCTACCATAATAGTAACAGGCACAACTGTTGATGGTTCAGATTTTCACACCTTCAGTAGCTTATTTACTCTTCCACATGCCCCATCCATATATTTACATATGATTATATGTGTTTTCCCCAAAAGCTGATCTCGATCAGTTGATCCTCCCACCTGGGCCTACTGAGTAGGTAGGATTGCAAGTGTATACCACCTATGCCCAGCTAAGAGGTTTTAAAGATGAAAAAGGAAGTGGATTATGTAAGATATTTTGAAGCAGTAATCCTTGGCCACAATTATTAATAACAAGAAGAGCATCAGGGGGCTGGGGTTGGGGCCCAGCAGTAGAGCACTCATCTCACATGTGTGAGGCCCTGGGTTCGATCCTCAGCACCACATAAATAAAATAAAGGTATTGTGTCCACCTACAACTGAAAAAATATATATATTTAAAAAGAAAAAAAGAAGAGCATCAGTCCAAAGTTGAACAGTCAGTTGCTGGGCAGAGGTCCTATTATGAGTCCTTTTTATATAGGGTTGTGGTGGCCTCTGTGCAAACATCAGGTTCTGACAAGTCTTTTGTGATAATTACTGTTGGGCAATCATGCATAAGAATCCTTTTTCATAACTTCCTGACTTTATGAAGGCTGTTGTTAGGGTTGACACAAGTAAATCCATTTAGAATCTGAAAACACATTTTTTCACAACATTCAGAATCAAAATCCATCTGCCTGGGAGCAGTTGTTTGAAGTCAACCTGGGTGATGTAGCAAGACCACATCAAAAAAAGAAAAAAGAAAGATAAAGAAAAGAGTGAGGGGCCTGGTGGTGCATGCCTATAATACCAGCAACTTGGGAAGCTGCGGCTGGAGGATCAAAGACACCCTCAGCAACTTAGGAGAGGCCTCAGTAACTTAGAGAGACCCAGTCTCTAAATAAAAATACAAAAAGGACTGGGGATATGGCTCAGTAGTTAAGTGCTCCTGGGTTCAATCCCTGGTTCCAAAAAAAGAAAAGGAAAAAAATAAATAAAATTCATCTTCCTGAGTATGACACACGTCTTCTGTAATGTAGTTCTTGTCCTCAGTTCCACTGCAAATAAACTCAAACTCTATACTAGCCACACTGAATTAATTTCAATTTCCTGATCTAATCCCATCCTCTGCCCTCCATATCTTTGCCAGCAGTTCCCCCATGCCTATGAGACAGCTGATGTCAGATGTGTCAGTAATCAGAGAAGGCTTCATTACCTGGGAGAATGATTAGCTGGAGTACCCTGCTCATGTCAGAGTTCCATGGAGATCTGAAAAGCAAACAAGCTGGGCTGCTTTGTAAATGAATTGGTTTTTCTATTTATTAAAGGAAAATGTAGGGGCTGGGGTTGTGACTCAGTGGTAGAGTGCTTGCTTAACAAGTGTGAGGCACTGGGTTTGATTCTCAGTGCCACATATAAATAAATAAAATAAAGGTCCATCAACAACTAAAAAATATATTTAAAAAAGAAAATGCAGAAACTGAAAAGATTCTCAGATTTAATATATGTATAACTAGAGCCTTAAAGTCAAAATTTAGAAGAAGGAAGGAAGGGAGGGAAGGAGGAAATCTAACATAGATTTTTAGATAAAACCAATGGCACCTCAAGATGGAGATAGAAGCAAGAATCCAGGGCAAAGGCAGGAATGAACCTTTGTGGAACTTGTGCATTTATCTATTCCCACTCTAATCTCACCCTCATATTCATATTCTCTCTCTCTCTCTCTCTCTCTCTCTCTCTATATATATATATATATATATATATATATATATATATATATCACTAATTTGTTTTAACTATAGTTTGGGGGTAATCTGTAATCTCTAACTTTCCAACCCCTGTCCCCTGTTGATAGAGTATATGTGTGTGTGTGTGTGTGTGTATATATATATATATATATATCCCATCCCCGCATGCTCTTACCTTACTTCGACTGTTTGCTAAATTAAATTCACTAAATGTGCTTATTGTAACTATTATATGCAAATGATAATGCTGGTAAATTCATTCATTCAATCGATAGATGTGCATTCAGTAGTTTCTATATGCCAGGCTAAATGCTTGATGCTAGGTATTGGAAATATGGAAACAAATTGTTTCCTGCCTGCACATAGATCATGGTCTGGTGAGTGAATTAGTCATATGCCACATAACATTTGGGTCAGCGATGGGCTGCATATATGACAGTGGTCCCATAAGATTACAATGAAGGTGAAAAATTCCTGTTGCCTAGCAATGTCATAGTCATCATAACATCATAGCACAATGCATTGTTCCCATGTTTATGGTGACGAAGATATAAACAAACCTACTGTATCACCAATTGTATGAAAGTGTACACATCCAATTCTGTGAAGTTCATAATATTTGATAATGATAATAAAGAATTATGTTACTGGTTCATGAATTTGTTATATCATCATTTTCAGTGTACTATTTATTTAAAAAGAAAAGGTTTAATATAAAACTGTATGCCATGTTATATCTGTGGTGGCCTCATAAATCTGGTGTTTATCCCACCTCCTGATTGCATCATTTTCTCTTGTGCTTAATTTAATCTTGTGTTGTTCTGTTCATCATGGCCCTAAGAATAATAGGCTGTACCATACATGCACACGCCATATAGTCAAGTGTGTAGCAGGTCAAACTATCTACGATTGTAAAAGTATACTTTATGATGTTTACACAATGAAATTGCCTAACAATACATTTTTCTGGAATGTATCCCATTAAGCTATGCATGGCTGTAATTGTATGTTAAGTTAACTAATAAAGTGTAAGGACCAATTGTGGTAAAGGTTGGGAGCAATTAACTAACTCTTGGGATGAGGAAAGTTTTTTGTTTTGTTTTGTTAATATTTAATTTTTAGTTATAGGTGGACACATTATCTTTATTTTATTTTTATGTGGTGCTGGGGATCAAACCCAGTGCCTCATGCATGGTAGGCGAGCACTCTACCTCTGAGCCACAACCCCAGCCCCTTTTGTTTTGTTTTGTTTTTAATATATTTTTTTAGTTGTAGATGGACACAATACCTTTATTTTGTTTATTTATTTTTACATGGCGCTGAGGATCGAACCCAGTGCCTCACCATGCGAGGTAAGTGCTCTACCCCTAAACCACAATCCCAGCCCTGAGGAAAGGTTTTTTTAGTTGTTTTTGTTTTTGTCTTCGTGGTACTGCAGATCAAACCCAGGGACTCATGCATGCTAGCCAATTGGGAAAGTTTTATGAAGAAATGTTTAGAATAAGATTTGAGGGCTGAATAGACAATCACCAAGGGAACAAAGTAGAGGTGTGGATGGAAGTGTAAGTAATTCATGAAAGGAAGAGAGAATTATATGTGCTTCATATGACATGCTAGCAGAGCACGTTTAGGGGACTGCAAGGAATCTGGTGTACTAAATGTTGGTATAGTATTTCAGCCTATTGCTGGGTCATTTCAGACATTTAGTGGATTGTAATCGAGTTAGTCATAAAGGTATCTAAGAGTCTGGAATGTCAAGTTAAAAAATCATTAAGGTTTTTTTTTTTTTTAAATGAAAGAATAGGGAGTTACTACAAGTTACTACAAGTTAAAAACAACAACAAAGTGCACACGGGCCTAGAAGAAAATTCATAAGCTTGACTAAAGTTTTGCCAAGCAAATCTAAGTTGTCTTGAAGTGACTCCTCTACTCCAGGTACCCAAGTTCTCCTCAACCAGTTTACAAAACTTAACATTCTCATTTAGTAGACTACATTATATCCAATCAGTCACTAATCCACATTATTTTTTTCTTTAAAAATATGTTTTAACTTTACATCCTCTCATATTAGAGTCAACACTGTAGACTAGATCCAACTCACCTCACTATCTCACACTTGGACAACTACAAACTAATGGGTCCTTGGCATTTTTTTTTTTTTAATCTCTACAAACCTAACAGCCAATACATTTCTGGGTACATGGCAGGCATTCAATAAGGTACTCTCTCAACAAGGGGTGGAAAGTTACCAGATTATCCCAAATTACAGTTAAAACAAATTGGTCATCTTTAATTAATCTCATTTATTGG